ACAAGCAGAAGGTAGTCAACCAAATCATGGAATGCCTTATTAAGATCACAAATTAAAGTATAAGAAGCAAGTAGACTTTCAGTTGGCCAGCTTTCTTGATTTAGTACGTCTTGGTGATTGTTAGTAAATGATGCTTTCTGGCTCTGACGATGTCCGTCCCAGAACGGGCAAAAGCTCAGCAGGGATTCCTCGAGGTCACATGCCGCGGAGCCGAAGTCTTCGTGGCACAATCCAGCAGTCACAAGTCCAAGGCAATCCTACTTCGCTATCCTGTGAGGACAATTTACGAATCCATTCAATTCGCCTTTTCAGACGAAATGAAAGACATGAAAGTAACTCTTGTCCTGTGACTCGATGGCGTCATGAACGTATCGCATTTGTCTTTGTCCTACACGCCCTGGATTTCCTTTTCACTGGGGCTGTGAGGGAGGCCTGACGGCGTTGAAGCTTCTATAACTTTTATAAGACAAAGTGCTGTTAGGCACGCTAAACGGTAGAATTTAACAGTTCACTCAAGAACAATTTAATTCCTCTTGAGCAAATCTATTTCCATTGTTATGCAGTGGGCTTCTTTTTTGAAAGAGATTGAATTAGTTTTAGTATTACACCAATATTTAAATAGAATGAATTAATTAATCTCTTCAGATGTACCATTGATTCTTATGACCAACAGTTATTTTACACCCGAGTCGCCCCAAATAGGAAAATGGCTTAGTCTGCCTATGGGTAAAAATTAATCAAGTTGGTGAGACTTGGGCATGGCGAATAGCGCAGTAACCGAGTCCTGCAAGCGACTGCAGAACAACTGGATCAGCTCTCGCCTTCTGATGAGGTCAGCCATCGAGTCTCCTTTTCATGCACCCTTAGACGAAAGGAAAATCTTCAAAACAATGTTATCTCAAGATATTCATCGAAACCCAGCTACCATTCGTATGGGAAATTATTCACGAGCCAAGTCTTCTTGAGAAGTCTTTGTAGGTGGCTCAGTTTTCTGGTACTCGATTTAACGGCAAACTTTCAAAAGCCTGATTTGTGAAGTTTTTGTAGATACTCTATCCTGGATAGGCTCTGAATGGTTGCAGTCTAGGAAATCGACTCCACCAGATCGGTTTTCGGAATTCACGCATGACTCTCTGGTCGGAATGATCAGTCTAGCTTAGTATTACATTAAATAAGTCGTCGTTGATCGTCACGAAAGTTCTCAGGTAATTGTGGAAATGGCGAGAAGCAGGATGGATTGAAGGGGACAAGAATTTATTAAAGAAGATACACTGGATTTGGAGGAGAATTTTGTACATTGTGACTCAGATACGCACTTTTTGTGTGTACAAGCAAATTCACTCTGCATCTGGGGGAGAGACAAGTGAAGTTGGGCCTGTATAAAAGGCATAATTATGTATAAATAGGCACCATAACACAGAGCTCATAGCTCTTGATATCGCACATTGACAAAGACATAAACAAATTAGAGTTAAAATGAGTGCAAGTTTTCGCAGACAGGGTTGATAGAATCCTGTGAAAGATGCCGTTTGAAGGGGGTGTAGGGCACGTGCGATGAATTGATGGGTATGCCTGCAAATACAGACGTGCACCCGTTCAGAAATATATACATATATTAATAAATATACATAAGCGCAGACACAAAAAATAGTCATAACATTCTGACTGGCCGAATAACAAATTTACAAGTTGGTCTCAGGCTGGATTATATATCAAGATGCCCAAATGCAGAATGCATAAAATAACGATAATACACTACACTTATGTATAATTATACACGAGTAAATAAACAAAAGATGCTTCTTAAACAGGTCTAATAAACAGTCATGATACGAACGCAATCAGGCTTGGAAAATGCCGTTTGAGACTTTAAGCTGCGCTCTGCAATAAAGCTCAGTGATGGCCAGTCTAAACAGAGAAAATGGAGAATACACTGTTGGAATCTACACTTCATAGTTTCAGAAATGGCTTAGAGACAACTATCAAGGTTAAACCAGACTGTAAGCGAGAACAACTAGAAACCGCACAGACAGACAGGAAAGATTTTGGTCTCGTGTGTGAATTCAGAGAGTGATATAAACACAAGAGGGCACAGAGACAAGATGATCTATATAAATTTTGGTCCACATGTCATTCCAGGGATTTACACATGACTCCATTATACAAATATACGTCAGACTCTTGTGTGCCTGGGAGGCTAGGCTAGCAGAACAAGTGATGTGTATGTCGTGGTTTCTAATACGTGCAAACACTCTTGCGGTCTTGTCGGAGTGTAATGGAGCAGCCAATGCGAGAGCTGAAAATGAGGCATTAGGTCCTTACAAAATTAGTCTCTCGAAGGGGGTCCATTGAATATGTTCTGCAAGTCAAATAAAGTGATGCCATTAGCCTGCCCATCAGCAGGCCTGGAAAGTGTGCTCCATTCGAGCTAGAGACGAACACGTTGTCAAGCCTCGTCAAGACGGTCCCAAAAGCCTTGTTGACTGATGGTGTAGCTTCACCGACAAGCTTCCAGGAACAGCCCTCTTTTGTGAAGCTTGTGTTTGTGCGAATTCTCGAAGTTTTTCGTGACAATTCAATTTGAACACCGGCAAAATAATGTCTTGCCGATCGTAGGGTTGACTTGCAACTTGCAACTTGCAATTTTACCGCGCCTTAGGGGCGTTGCTCAGTGCAAGTGGGACAAGTAACTAGGCCTCATGCATTTATGCCCTCCTCTCGAAAAGACGGTTAGACACCTTCACCAGCCTCAAAAGTTCCCTGATTCCGCGATAACCAGGCCAAAATAGCGCTACCTCATTATTAGTGTCATTACTCTTATTGCTTTTGCACATGCACTATTGCCTTCAGTGCTTTATTGCCTCACATGCGCCTATTTGGAAGTAATTGTTTGTGTTTTTAAGGACAGTCTCTCCTCAGGCCATGAGATACTCACAGTGAGGCCCTAGCCTCTTCAGACCCTACTAGACTGCTATTATCCGCGCCTCCGGAAGTCCGACCGGCCTGGCGGATGGAAGCCATGTGCCGTACCAGCAGGAAGATGGTTATCGAGGCGAACACTATGGCGGAGACCAGGCAGGCGAGAGCAAAAACGACCCAAAGAATGGAGGGCTCTGAGAAGAAGTCGACAAGTCGGAAGTATCGGCCATGGCCGAAGGAGCCATACCCGTCAGAAAATTCTCTGGGCACGGTGACATTTTTGCCTCCTCCCTCGACTCCATCACGTTTGGCGCTGTGATTGGCCAAAGCCAATTCGACGGTGCTGACGACAGCCGCAAGGGAGACGAACGTTGATGGTGCCGGCGATGAGAGCTCCTGGAATTGGCTTTGCCAGACCGACGGTTGGTCCTGCCGCAGAGGCAGACGATCCTTGCCGGACGAACCTGTTCGCCATGGCTTGCCCATCCTCTCCGAACGTCCAGACACGGGGAGGGAAGGGGGCTGAGGAGGTGGTGCTTGTTGACTTTCGAGCTCATCCACAATAGAGGGGACGACCTTCTGGTGGAAGATGTGATCCCAGAGTTTTTCTATCGGCAGACGAAGCACTGCCTCTTCTCCCTCTTCCTCGGTAACGTAGTCCACATGGTTGTGTGGAGTGTTAGAAGTGGAATTGGTATCATCCTGTTGACCATGTGTAGGGCCAACAGAATGGGGAGGAGGAGGAAGGGGCAAATGTGTGGAACGAGGAAGATGGGCAAAGTGAGGAGAGGGAGTAACTGTTGGAAGAGGGACAGAGTATGAGGCAGGACTGAAAATGGAGGCAGTGGCAGAAACGGGAGCAGAAGCAGACCAAGACGTGGAGGCATGAGGGACGGTGGCAGGAGTGGCTGAGTGTTTGCCAGAAGAAGAGGTTTCTACCGACACTTCCTGCTGCCTGTGGTTGGCCTGCAGCTCCTTACAGCCTCTACCATTTCCCGGCCGATCGGCTGCAGGGGTGCCTTCGACAATAAGTGTTTCAGCATTGTGACCGGAAACGCTGTCTGGTATGATTTCGGGACTAGAAGCAGTTGCCCGATTGGGCAACTCATTTTCTCCCGCAGTCGAGTTGGTCGAATTCGAGCAGGCAAGCGATGACGAGGATGAGCCAGTTCGATCTGATGGTACAGTTCGTTTGCCAGGGTGAGGAGCGACAACGACTGTAGCTTCTTCTTTGGCGGAAACAACCTCGAGCCCTTTAAATGCAATGGAGAAGAAGATAATAAAATGTAAAAAAAGTGCATCACTTTTCTAGCTTCTCGCTGGTACAAACGAGTATATGATGTTATGGTACTTATAAAGTATTGTATGGCTGTGCATTTCAGGATTTAAGAGATATTTCCCGATTAAACAAGTTTCGCGGCTATCAGTAATTCTTGTTATTCAAATATTAGTAGCTTAATTATTCCTTCAATGCTATGAATAGGCCCCATGGACCTATTGCATTCCCCTTAGCTTCATTTCACAAAAAAGCTTCTCCTCTGGGCTCGACTGTGATTTCGACCTCGCTCCGATATCGCTCATCAGCATCCCCAACGGGATTCGTAACCGGATCGTGTGAATCGGGGCGGCAA